ACATTTTTTTAAGTTTGTAGACAAATTTGCTTACCAGATAATCTAAAGGATAATATAATAATCAGATTATAAAATAATATTAGAATTATATAGTATTAATCAGATTATATAGTAATACTATAATCTATTATAAGTAGTATAACACTATATAATATAAAATATATTATATAGTGATATATCACTATTTTTTTTTTTTTATTTATTTAATTTTTTATTGATTTGAAAAATTAATATTATTTATTTTAATATATTTTTAATTAAAATTTATAATAAGTAAATTTTTGAAAATAAATAATTTATAAAATATATATTAAAACAGAATCAATATAAGTAATTATAATAGATAAAAAAATTATATATTTGCAATTTATATTATACTTTTAATATTTACTTATAGGATTAATTAAAGTTAAATTAATATTAAATCAGTGATATGTTGATACTAAATTTTAAATTTTCAAAAATATAAATAACATAAATTATCAATATTTTTTTTTAGAAAATTAATTCAATTTAATTGAAATTAATTCAATAAATCTAAGTTATAAGTACTAAGATAAAAAAATTTTATATTTATTTTAATATAAATACTTTTTTTGTAATATAATAAACTGCCTATATATAAATCATATTGTTGAGAAATATTTTTTTTTAGTAAATATAATTGGTTATATTTGAACTAGCTTAATAAATCTCATCTAAACTAAATTTTGCTATTAAATTATACTCAATCAATTATTATTTTGATGTTATCATTTCTAATATTACATAAAGGTATATTATGATAAATTAATTATAAATTATATAGAAAATTACATATTTAAATTGTATATAAAATATACTATACAAAATATTAAATTAATTAAATAAATTAAAAACTAAAAATATAACAATAATAATATTAATTCATGATATCTTTCAGTTTTATTAATATTAATATAATTTTACCTGAAATTCAAATTTGAAATAAATTTTTAATCTTATCTGAAATCTAATTAAAGCTTTTTAAAGATCAAATTTAATATAATCAATAAGTGTAATTTAACAAGTAAAAAATGAAAATTCAAATATTTTAAACAATATTTATGAAAAAGTTCCGGGTATTATACATGGAAAATTTTATAATTCGAATTAAATCTCTGAATTAGCTATTTAACCGGTCTTAATACCGGTCTTTAAAATCGAAGTCCGTCGATCAGACCTTGAACAAAATGTCAGCTGATTCAATTTATGATATATAGTTATTTGATATACCAACTTTTTTTTAAAAAAAATTTTTTCTTTCAAAATGTCTTGGAAAAATTTATTATCAAAAAATCTTAAAGAACTTCGTGTTCATTTTTGTCAAACTAATCCTGCTAGTAATGGAGTTAGGTAAAGAGATTATCAAAAAAAAAAAAAAAATCTTATTGATCATTTTTAATTATTTTTTTTTATTTATCAAAAAAACAAAATATAAATAAATAAATTATACAGGGAATTTATCGCCAAAAATTATCTCCCGTTAAAAGAAGCTAATCCAAATTTTCCAATTTTAGTTCGTGAAGCAAGTGGTGTGGAAGCAAGATTTTTTGCTCGTTATGGTATAAAAAAATTTTACATCTATTTTTAACGATTTATTTTAATTGTTTTTATTAATCATTCTCTATTTCATTAGATATGGGTAAAGAGAAAAAAGTTGTATTGAATAATTTATCTGCTAAGGATGTAGAATCTAAATTAGAGGAATTAGTAAGAGTAGCAGTATAAATAACATTAATAATTTGAAAAAAAAAAAAAAAATTAGAATTGAATTATTTTCATCATTTTTTCAATCGTTATTATTATTTCAATAATAATAGGAAAATGAGCAGTAATTATAATGAATACATTCCCCTTGTAATTATCCTATTACAACATTATTTTCATCAACTTCTATATAATTTTTTCCATTACTATGTAAATCAGCCAAGTAAGCAGGCAATGGAGGTTCAGCGATTCCTGCCGTAATCATTTTCTTTAATCCTTCGATTACATTGGTCCCCTCAAACAGAACTGTTGCTGATAATGACATCGAATCGTTCATTTGATCATTGTGTAAAGGAAATGTTAACTAATAAATAGATAAAGTTCATTTTAAATAAATTCTTGTACAATAAGGGGTTTTTTTTTTTTTAATTAATAGTTTTTATTTTTTCACCTTAATTTCAACTACATCAATTGATGGCTGTTCGTTAGGTCCAAAATCATCATCCACTACAGCATCTCTTTTTTTCACAAGCAAAATGTCATCATCATCATCCATCATATCTTCAAATTTATCATTATTTTTCGGCATATCTAAAGAAATTTGAAGATAAATCAAAGCAAGCAAGAAATCCATTCCAATAAATTAACTTGACATTTAAGTATTTATACCATCTTTCTTCAACTTTTTTGAAGGGAGTAATAATGGGTTATCATCAACTTGATTTAATCGATAACGACTGTATGTTCCCTGAGATTGTCGATGCAATAAAAGCTTTTCAAGAGAATCTACATATTTTCCTTTCAAATCCCACTCTTCAATTTCATTGCATACGAAGGTTTTCAAAAGCCCCTAAAATTGCACTCTTTTTATAAATTTTTCTGAAATCCAACAAATTTAAACGGAAATTACGAAGCCTTTTTTACCTGCATTATAAATTCCTTGTGCTCACGTTTGATATTACTACATAATAAATGTTCAGAGTTGGTAAAATAAATAGCGTAAATGATATTTGTACTTATGGGAAGAACATTCGGTGGAATTCCATCGTGAATACTAATACGTATCCACCAATTTTTTTCAAATGCTTCAATATATAAATGCTGGATAAAAATTATTTATTAATATTGTTAGATTTATAAAAATAAAAAATGTGCTTTTCATACTCTTACAGCTTTGAAAAATGGCGAGAGTTGTATCGAGAGTGATGAATGAAGCTCTGAAGTCTTTCGAAATTCTTTTTTCTTTAGTCCTAAAAAAGAAAAAAAAAATTAACTCACATGGTACAATGGGTTTATTATTAATTATAAATATCGATACACGCCATCTTCCCAGCATAGTTTCAAAGCTTTCCAATGTTTGAGGCTAGAGTGATCATGATAATCTAACAGATATTTATTTTATTTAATTTAATCAATCTAAGGAAATTAATTATATAAGTCATTGAAATTTACAAAATCCGCGTACATTTCATATCTAGTTGTGCCACTTGTTTATAATTTAATCCATCTTTCTATAAAAAATATTTAATGAAGTAAAGAGTAAAGTAAAGGTAATTTAAATTTTTAAATGGAGAGCATACCCAATCCTCAAGAAAAATTTTATCAACTATTTTCTTTTTACTTCCGGAACTTGAAAGTTTCTCATAATGAAATAAAAGTCGTTTGACTAGTTGTTGTACATTGGTATCATTGGTATCGTTAAGAATTTCTTCGTCTTCATAAAGAGCAATTATTTTTGAACGTGTTATAGGGTCTTGTAACCATTTATGAATAACATTGAGTAGAGAATCTTTCGTATGACGGTTTATGACGCGACGAAGAGAGGCGTTGGGTGCAATAATGGTCTTGTCATTGCGAATAAAAGAGTGAAGGGGCATTTTTTGTTTTTTTCAAAAAAAATTTAAAGTAATATTAATGGAAAATACGCGCAATGATTTGTGCTACATCACGTGGACGTGTGAATGCACTACATATTATGTTCATCAAACCTACCGCGCGTTATCTGGTCAGTTTATTAGCTATGGATTGCTTAGAAATTGCTTTTAATAATGTTCATGCTTTTAAAGGTATTTCTTAACGGAAATTTGTTTATCATTAAAAAAAACGCAATTAATTTTGGAAAAAAAAAAAAATAAATAAATATGTTAGCGTTGACTGCATGGATGTGCGTTTTCACAAAAGATAGTGTGTTTATGAACGTTAATAGAAAAGAAATCAAATTACTTTACGAGGAAGCTAACCGAGGAATAGTTTTGGGGTAATTCATATGATTAGTTTTTTTGGGAGGAGGGACAAAACGCGTAAAAAAAAATAACAACTTTTGTAAAATTTAATTATATAGAACTTTGAAATTTTATAATAATGCTCAACAAACTTATGAATCAATTGAATCCATAAAAGTAAATCGCGCCCATTCAAACAATGACTTCACATTTGAACTTAACATTGATAGTTTAAAGGAAGCGCTAGATTGTATGGCAGATGATAAAAAGATCATCAAGATGGAACTTAAAGACCATGAAGATGGATTTCACATCCTTTACTTTACAGTAATTGATTTTTATCGTTTGTATTTGATCCAATTTAATAGCGTTATATTAATCCTGGTAAATAATTTCAGGGATATGCAACTGAATACTTTGATCGATCCATATCAAAATTTTTCGTGAATTTGCATAATAATCTACCACAACTTCCATCAATGAACGTAGTGTATTCATTTGATAATACATTCATTCTTATTTCAATTAGATCATATAATAATGATAATAATTTTATTTTTTTCGTTTGATAAAATTTTTGATTTAGCGGTTGATGATGAAATTTGAACAAAATGATTTAGATAGCCTTCAAAATATTGCCAAATTATTGTCAGAAGTTAAAGATAATTTGATGGTAAAAGTTCAATATGCCACCTATTATAATATTTTCCAAATTAGATATTCTCAATCTACGGGAAGTAACGTACGTCATAAAATTAAACATAGAAGTGAAAATCAAGGTAAGAACTTAATGAGATTACCAAAATTATTTTTAAAATTATTTTTATTTATTTCTCTCTTTTTTATATAGACGATGACATTTGCAAAGTTACAAAGGTCAAACCACCATTATTGGCTAAATTTTTTAAACTTGGGTCATTAAATCAACTCTCGTGCTGTAAGTTTACTTGAAAAAAAAAATAAAAAAAAATTTTTTTTAATTAATATTAAATCATTACTTCTTTTTAGGTATTAAAAATGATGGATCCCTTCTGCTCGAAGCCGAAAATTATCCAGAAGAAAATGCGGTAATAAAGGTTCATTTGAAGGGTTTATCAAAAGAAGAATAAGGAGAATTCTTTTACAGTTTTAATATATTTAATAATAGTAATTTAATTACAATATTTTTGGTTAAATAATAAATCTTTTTAATCTTAAAACTATAACGATAAAATTAATGACAATCCGATCATTCGAATAAATCGGACCAATATAAATATTACATGCGATACGAATTCTTTTTTCTCTTTAAATATTAAAAAAAAAAAATGTCATTTGGTAGAACACCAAATATATATTCATTTAGTCCAACGCCACCTGAAAAAGGAAGTTTTCCTTTAGATCATGAAGGTATGTATGTATTTACATGATGTTATTTAAATTTAAAGGTTTATTTTTTTTTAATAAAAAAAAAAAGCATATACGTGATCTAGGTGAATGTAAACGGCTTGTTAAAGAATATCTTGAATGTTTAAAAAAGAATCAGGGAAATAATGGAAACTGTAGGCATGTTTCAAAAGCTTATTTAAAATGTAGAATGGACAAGTAAGATCAAATTTAAATCGAAATTTAATCAGATTGAATTAAAACAAATTTTCATTAAATATGAATATTCTCTTAGAGGATTGATGACACCTGAAGAGATGAAAAATCTAGGATTTCAAGATGAAAATGAGATAAAAAAGATTGATGATAAATAAAAAAAAAAAAACTCATTTATTTTATTATTTTTTTTAAAAAATATATCTAATTTTATCCTTGATATTGGTCCAACTTAATAATATAAAGGCCAATAATATACAGAGATTACCAATAATAGTATTTACACCTATGGGAGTATTAGTAATGAGCCAATCAACCAAAGCAACGACTGGGATGGTTAACATAATACCAACAGACGCAAATAACGGAGAAGTCAATGCTATCAATAACATAAAGCTAGCATTAAAAAATACTCCGGCTATGGCAGTTGATAAGATATATCCAAACGTTTCAGGATCAGGCAATTCAAATATTTCAATACCCAAATAATGTAATATCGGTATAGGTATCCAAAGAAACAATAGAGTACATAATCCTATTAATCCCGTTATCGTATTCGCAAATAAAAACGAAGTTGTAGGAGGACTTCCCAACTTCTTATAAAGGACTTCATATAATCCATAAACAAGTGCTCCAAAACACGCGATAAAATCTCCAACTTCAATATTGTTTGCTCTTTCATTCGGAATTAACAATGACATGACCATCACTCCCGTGATACTTAAAATTACGGAAAAAACTTTCTCTATTCGAATTGTTTCATTCAATAAAATGATTGAAAATACATAAGCCCAAAAACAACTTGTATTATATATCGCTGTTAATTTGGCCATGGTGGTTAAATTTACTGCAACGTACCAAATATATCCTGGTGTACAAATAATAATCGCAAATAATAATGATATCTTAAAAATATAAATCATTACGGGTCTATAATGTTTGGATGTTAGGATTTGAGTTATCGATGTAACCACCATCGGGTGATCATATTCGACGACTTCCTCGGTTGGATTTGTTGTTATGATCGCTTGATATGTCGGTTTGACGGTGCTAATTAGTCCAATTCCTATATTAAGGAATTCTTCCATATATCGAAGTGGGTTCAATCTAAACATAAGTTGAAGTGGTAAAATGATGATATAACAACTATGTGCAACCCATCTATTTAATTGAGGTTTGGATTAGTAATCATATCAAATGTAAAAACAAAAAATTACAATGACTTACAAAAAGAAATATGGTTTGTGGTATTTCATTCCTTTATTCACGAATTGTGCCAACTCCTATTTAAATACGAAAAAGAAAATATGTTTATTTATCTTGTTGAAGGTTTTCTTCCAATTTATTAACTATCAATTACCGTTTCTATAACAAATGATGCAATACATATACATAGTATGCATATACCTAGTGTATGGTGTGATTTGCGAACAGGAACAAACCTGCCTTCTTCAATAAGGTGAACATTTTCGTCATGTATGACTCGTGAAGATGGTATGGTTGACGAATTATCCGAATTATCCGAATTATCCGTCATTTTTTTTTTTTATTTTTATTTTGTATTTTATTTTTGTTATTTTGACTATGGTTATTAAATTCAAAAGTTATGTTACATTACTTTCCTTTTATATCATTCATATAACTCTTGTAATACCAACAACGCGAAAATTTTTTCTCAAATTTGACTTTTTTTTGTTCATCTTTTTTTTTTACGAGATATATATATATCTGAGTATTTTGCTTCATGAATGTAATTAATATTGATGAAATTTAATTTTTTTATCCTTGAGCTATGGCATCTGTTTTTCTTCAATCAATATTTCATCCAAGTGAAATTGTAGCACTTGTTCAGTATAAATTTTTCAGACCTTCCCCTGTTAACTTCATTCCTCCCGAACAAAAGGCAAAAATTCGTTGTTATGAATTTTTAAGCCAAACTTCTAGGTCTTTTGATGCCGTTATTCGAGAATTAGACGATGATATTAGAGATGCCGTACGTAGTTCAAGTTCATAATTATTTCTTACCTTTTCTAATGTTCGAAAACAAACTTTTTTAAATAGGTTTGTATCTTTTATCTGGTACTACGTGGACTTGATACCATTGAAGATGATATGTCAATCCCCATTATGAAGAAAGAACCTTTGTTAAGAAATTTTCATGAAATAATTTATAAGAAGGGATGGACTTTTAACGAAAGTAAGATTTTTTACAAAGTTTTTTTATTTTTTTTTTTAAGAAACATGACTAAATAATTAATTTATTTGACATAGGCGGTCCTGATGAAAAAGATCGTCAATTGCTCGTAGAATTCTCTATTATAATTGAAGAATTCTTGAATTTAGAAAAAAAATTTCAAAACGTTATCGTAGAAATTACAAATAAGATGGGAAATGGTATGGCAGATTATGCAAAAAATGCGTCACATCAAGAATATGGAATTTTGACGAATGAAGATTATGATTTATATTGTCATTATGTTGCTGGCTTGGTTGGAAATGGTTTAAGTTGTATATTTAGTGCTAGTGGATTGGAGAAATCTGAGTTAGCAAAAATTACCGAAATGTGAGTCAAGAAGATTTTCGTTCCTTTTTCTTGATTTACCTTTTAATGTTCCGTCCTTGCAATTTTTAGTTCGAATTCGATGGGATTATTTTTACAAAAAACGAATATCATAAGGGATTATTCTGAAGATTTATCTGATAATCGTAGATTTTGGCCAAAAGAAATTTGGTCAGAATACGTTGATGATTTGGCAGACCTTAAAAAACCAGGATATGAAATTAAAGCAATTAATTGTTTATCAACAATGGTATTAAACGCTTTACAACATATCCCTGATTGTTTAACTTATTTAAATAAATTACAAAATGAAAGTATCTTTAGATTTTGTGCCATTCCTCAGGTAATGGCTATCGCTACTTTAACTTTATTATTTAAGAATCATAATGTCTACAATTCTATCGTTAAAATTCGTAAAGGTGAAACTATTAAGGTAAGGTTTTCACAAGAAAAGCCTTTTTGGTAATACACTTTTGGCTTGAATAACCTTTTTTTTTTTTCAAAAAAATTTATCATCCTAGTTGATCTTGAAATGCACAAATATTTATGAGATCGCAAATGTCTTTCGTTATTATACAAGAGTTATTATTAAAAAGAATGACCCTAAAGATCCAAACTTCATGAAAATTAGTATGGCATGCGGCAAGGTATGTATTTATTTTATTAAATAAATCTGATTAATTATTAATCAACCTTTTTTTGAAAAATCTATATCTATGTTCATACATATTAAATATTCATATTAAATTAAAGGTTGAACAATGGTGTCAAACAAATATACCAGATATAGACTCATACCATTTATCAACTCCAAAAGGTTTAGACAAAAACGATAATAGATTGATCTTTGTTGTATTTATTATATTAGCTTTTACCGCTTATTTTTTAGGATACGAATTAAATAACTAGTTTATGCTAATTGAGATATAAAATTATAATTCCAGAAAAATTTTATTTATTTATTAACAAATTAAGGTTTCTTATTTATTAAAAAAAATTTGCTCTTGCTACTAATCATTTATTGACCAGTAGTGTTAAAGTTATTTATTGAATTAAATTTATTAGCAATTTATTTTTTATTTTTAATATTAATTATATTAACAAATAAATTATAATTTAATTTATATTTTTATATAATGATCACAATTATATTTTTAGTTAGTAAGTAGAGTTGAGTTAATAATAAAGAAAATCCTTTAAGGTATTATATTTGGTAAAGAAAAATCAAAAAATATTTACAACAAATTATAATAAATTCAAAACATATTATCTGATAATTATTTAATAATTAAATCACATTTTTTAATTTAAAATAAAAAAATAATATAAATCAACTAATTTTTGTAAAAACATTTAAATTGTGTACAATTACTACAGAACAGATTTCATTATAAAGATCATTTACTAAGAATTTGGTTTATAATACTTTATTCATTAATTGAAAATAAAAAGTATTATAAAATGAATCAGAAGAAATATCATCTTATAATCTGTTCATTTATATAAAAATAATTTGATAAAAGTTTGATTATTTAGTTTTATTATAGTCATTTAAGTTTTAAGTAAATTCTTTTTCATTAGAAATAAACATTTTAAATTCTTCATTATTATCAGATATTTGGGTATAGGTTTCTAATCAAAATAATCTATGATCAATATCTTATAGATCTTATCATGTAAAGTGATCTCATTTTCAATTAAAAATAATTTTATCTAAGAAAGCATAGCATATCTCTCAATTTTAGTTTTTGAAATTCTCAATTTCTTTAAACTTATAGATATCTCCTCTCTCTTACTATTTAAAATCAAATTATTATAAATCAACATGATTTTTGCAAGTTATTTATTATTTCTAATTATTTTAAAACTAAGATTTATACAAAAAAGAAAAGTTGAAAAGTTTTGTAAAGCATTTAAGTTTAATAAAATAATTGAAAGGATTTGTATGATTATATTAAAGGTTTAAAATTACTTTATGTATTTATATAAATATTTTATATAAAATTTTATAATACTTTGGTAATGCAAAAATTAAATATGTAAAGTTAAGAAATATTCTTATACAATATATATTATTTATTTTATTATTTAAAAAGTTTTATAATAATTATTTGATAAAAGTTTAAAAAAATTACATTTTGTTTTTTAAATGTAAATAAATAGAAAAAAGCAATTATATATATACTTTATTGATAAAAATGTAATTTTATTTATTTTTAATTTTAAAAAAAAATCATAATTTATTACCTTTATTTATTTTTTAAATTGTATTGCAATTATTTAATCAAATATCAAATTTAAAATTTAAAAAATAACATTTAATTTATATATTATCTTCACTATCTAAATTTTGAATTTAAATTTTACTATAATTAAAAAATAAATAATCTATATAAAAAATTTTTACAGAGATTTACAATACTTTAAAAAAATAAAGTATTAACAATACTATTTAAGGTAAAATCATATAATGAATATAAGTGTTGAAACTGATAAAAATTGATGAATCTATCGAATATGATATATATGCCAAATACGCTATATCTGCTAAATCTGCCATATCTGCCAAATAAGTCACACATACTATTTATTATATTTCTATTATTTATATCATTATTATCATTTATAACATATTTAACATAATTAGCATATCTATTAGCTCTATTATTATTGTCAGTAATATCATAAATACCATAGATTTCTTTAATTGTAATTTTCCTATATAAAGGACATGAAAATATCTTAGAAAAAGAATAAATTCTAACAAGTTCTCAACATTATATTCAATATACATTTAATAATAATAATAAACACTCTTAACATTTTGTAAACATAAAACTTATAATTTATTTCTTGTTAACTAAATAAACTTTCTAATAAATAGTGTGTCAAGTTGATTGAATTTAAGTCATAGCTATTGTTTCCCTGACTTCAAATAATAGTTAACTTATTCAATGAAAAGAGTAACGTTAATAGTGTATTTTATTTTTAATTATAATATTTTTTATTAAAGATCTATAATATCTTAACAAAATTAAAATTTTAATAATACTAAATTGTATTATTCTTAATGTATTAAATTATTTAAGATAAAATCATATATTTATATTATATATAAAATAAATAAACATATTTTTACTTATATAATAAAATAAATTTTATATAAAAACCTTAAATTTTTTTTAAATTTACTTAATAGCATTTATTAATATATTTGATTCAAAAGCTAATAAAATTTTTAAGTAAATAAGTAAAAATAAAATAAAATAATTCAAATTTCTATAATTTTTAATATCTTTATAAATTATACCTTTATTCTTAAATATAAATTTTAGCATAAATATACATTATATATTCTTTTGTTTAATTCCTAATATCTTAAAAAAATGGAAATTATAAGATATAAAAGGATAGTGATTTATTTTATTTTATAATATAATACTATATGTATTATTAATATTTATTATTATTTTTTAAAATATATAATAATATTCGTAATTTTTGTATAATTTATCTTTAAATTATATTACTATATATTTTGTTATTTTTCAAATAATAGAATTTGATACATAATATCTAAAATATGAACTGAAAAAAATAATTTATGAAATAATTAAAATAGTAAAAAATAATTACCAATAAAATATCTAAAACTTATTAATATTTCTTTAAAAATTAATAATTATTATTTTATTAGATTTATATTTTTAAATAATAATTATGTAGAATGATATTTCTATAATTAAACTAAGTAAATACTATAGTCATATAGATATAAGTTTAAATCAAATATATTAATTTTTTAAATATATAAAGTAAAACTTAATTTTAATTTGTAAAAAAAAAAATATTATTTATATACATTGTCAGTTATGTGTAAATCACATATAGTTGATAATTTATATGAAATATTCTAATAAGAGTATATATATATTTTATATTATTAAAATTTTAAATATAAATACTAATATAAAGTTTTTATGCTAGTTTAGTGATATATATAAAAGATATAATTAGTTTTTGAAATATTAAAGAATCAAAATAAGAATTACTTTTGAGAGATAAAATTAAAATAAATTTGTGTAAATTAAAAATCAATCTTAAAAAAGTAATATTTCATATATATAAATATTTAAAAAAGAAAGATACCTCAGAATTATTTATGATATATTTCACTTGCTAGTTAAGTAATATGTGTAAATGATAAGCATTTTAAAAGTTGAAACAATAACTTTTTTAGTGAATAATTAACAAATAATACCTTATTTAGTTGTAAAATACTTTCAGAAAATAGATATTATATTAATATTTTAATCTTATAAAAACCTTTAAAATATATAAAAATAATTACTTCAGCCTTTATTAATATGTATAAACCTTTATTTTAGATTTCAAAGATAATATTATAAATATTTTAATAAATAGATTTATATAATAAAAATTAAAAAAAATCTGATAAAAATTAGTAAAAGTTATATCAAATATACTTGATATTTTGTAAATATTTTATGATAAAGCTTATAAAATAATATAATAATTATATTATTTATTTTTTTAATAAAATTCTGTTATTTAATAATATTTTTTATAAAAAAGATACTTAAAAATCTCATTTTTAAAATAAAATTTGTTAATTTATAAAATGAAAGAATGTATATAATTAATATAATAATTCTATTATTTCAAACATCTTTAAAAGATCTTTTAATTAGAAAACTGGTTATATTTCTATAGCTAAATATTAAAATATAGTTAATAAAAATCAAAGAGAAATTGGCAAATAACTAAATATTATATTCATTACTTATTTTATAATAGGAATTATAAATTAAGTTTTAGTAAAGTTTATATATCATTTGTAATAAATAAAAAAGAAAAATGATCAAAAAAAATTCTTTCAATTGATCATCAAAATCATAAAAATGATAGGAAAAAATACCACTTAAAATAACAATAATAAGTCAAATAATATTTGCACTTCTTTACTGAAAAATAACTAATAATAATGCCTTACAAAAACAACATATTGAACTAGTAAAATAAACAGAAACTTTAACTGCTAATAAAAGTTCTTCTAACTATTTTATTAAAGATATAAAAGTTGAAACTACTCTAATCTCTAACTTTAATAAAGAAAAAAGTTTAGAAACTACTATTAATAAGAAAAATCATCTTTAAATAAAGACTAAGCTTTTAACGCTTTCAAAATAATCTCAATAATAAATAAAATAACAAAAGTAGAATCTGTTTAGAATGAAAAATAGAAGCCTCAATTTTCTTTGTTTATTATGCTAAAAAAATTCTACCTTGAAAAATCTAACAGAGATAAATAAAATAAGATATGTGATATTTTTATATTACATTTATTGATACATCAATTTGTACTCACCCTGAAAATTTAACAAGAAAAATCATCTGATTTAATTTTACCTCATATGCTAAGACTAATAATGCAATTACATTCACAATTTCTTGTTTAAATAATAGCATATTTTTACCTTTTATAACTAAACTATAACTAAATATATTTTTGAACTATCAATTTATCTCAATGAGATTCTAATCTTAACTATTAAATCAAACATTAAATTGACCTTTTTTTCTTTAAAAGATTTCCTATGTATTATGTCAATAAAGAACCTTTGGTAACAAGTCACTATTATATATACAGTCAACTCTTATTATAATGAACTCTCTATATCCTAGACCTCAATTTCACTATAAGGTTATAATGAAGATTTTAAGAGATTTGGTTAGCCAATTTGCTATAATAAGAGTATTTTTATTATATTTATTCAAAAAATTGTTATATCAAAAGTTCGCTATATCAAGAGTTAACTGTAAGTAAAGTACTGATATGACTACTTTAAATAAATTTCAATAGTTACTTTGTTTTTAAAGATGTAGTT